GCCAGCTCTTCCAGATTATCGTAGATTTCTTCGAGAGTATGATATTGCTTAAAATCAAATCCCTGCGATTTATTCTGAGGAGTAGTCGCGTCGTCGATTAATTTCTGGATATTGTCAATTCTGACTTCAAAGTTCAAATTGAAATCGTCCCAAAGGCCATACTCGTTCTCATCCGTAATTGGTACTTCGAAACCTTCTATTATTTTGTAAAATTGATCCAAATTGCGCGGCGGTACCATAAGAAACACTTCTCCGTCAATCAAATTTGGTTCTTGCCAGAAGCTATACTGTAAATAAGATTAATTTTCGCAGTTTTACTTAACTGAAATTTAATCTTAAATCTGTTAAAAAAATATCGACATATTTCTGATTTATATTCTTTATTTCATGACATTTAATTTGCAAGTTATTTTATATCTAAGAAATATCTAAGAAATTAATTTGGTTGTTTCCAGATACATAATATAAAATGCATGAGAATTGCTATTTTAAATATTAACTGACAATAATAAATAGTGCAAAACTAATATAATTTGCAAGTGACCTGTGCGTATCTTTATCTGAATTTATTTAAATGGTCTATACTTACTTCGGCGTCACCCATCTCTTTGAATTTTTTAAGTAACATCAATTGCGTGAATGTTTTCGGGATCATGCTGAAGAGTTTGTAACCTTCGTAGCTAACCTTGTCTGCGGTAGCTATGCCCATGGTCACGATACTCACGATACATAACATTATTATCCTCATGATGGCTATATAAGAATAGATTTCTTATAATTTGAATTGCGAATATTCTTCGAGATTATAATGCTCCACACAACTTTGGCGAAATAACGTTATCAATCATTATTATTATCCATTAAATAAATTAAATAAAATTGCGAAATTTAATTATATAAGTTAAATTCACATTTACATACAATTTCTGGATTAAAAATTTCCTTCTTCCTGCATACACCAGTTTACTGAATATGAAACAAAGAGTGTTTTTGTATAACGATTACAGTTTAATTCATTGTATTTAAACATTATATAAAAGATACAATATTATTGCTCTCGTTATAACAATTTATGTTGTACATATGTTATATTGCAATATTTTATGATATACTGTTATATATTTTTTGAAAGAAACTCTCTGTGCAATGCAGCAAGAAAATTGTCATTTCGTAAATACGCATTATCAATGTCTAACTTTAACATATTTCGAAAGAGGTATACATATATAATCAGGCAAATAATAATGCGTATTCACGAAACGATCACTTCTTTGCTTCGTAGCAATATTTACTCACAAAGATTTTAATAGTGTATAGCAATATGTAAAAACAATAGATATGTACTAAAAATATTTAATAAAGAATGGATACAAACGCGTTTAATATTACCGTTACGTATAACGCACGACAAATCGAATACATGCTCAGTTCTCGACAGACTTTAACTTAAGAATTTTCATTATAAGAGAAAAATCATAATCAAACCTGCTCAATTCAAATATTACGTGTGCTAGAAATGACTAATGCCTGATGAGAGCCAAAATCTAGCCTGAGAGCAAAAATCAGTAGAACAAGCACGATGGGTAAAACACAGTTGTATACATTGTCTTCTCCTCAAAAATCGTCGACGATCTCTAACGATTTGATTCAAAATGATCGATTGCAGTAATGTGTAAAAGCCGACTAGGAAACGTCCGACGCGGGTAACATTCCAAAACAAAAATATTTACGTGTATAATCTGTTCGCGCTCAAAATGTATTTATGTTTCCAAAATCTTTAATTTTAATATGTCTAACAGTTGTCTAACGATTTAACAGTCAATATTGTTTGTTCCTTTGTTAATATCTTGAAATATTTATCTGGTTGCAAAGCATTTTAAAAAGACAACGTAATTTTCTTTCGCTGTTTTATTTTGTCTCTTCACTAAAGAGGTCTCTCATTAAAATGTGAAAAAAAGTTACACATTTCTTTTAAATCTCCAACAAATAAATATTTTAAGATACTGACAAAGAATATTGTCCGTAAAACCGTTAATCAACCTTTGGACGTACTGAGACTAAATATTTCAAACATTAAACGTTTTTAACTCAAACTGCAGCTATATATATGCACATACATATACGTATTAAAAATAATACTTATAACACGAACAAATGTATGCCCAAAAAACATGCAACAAAATTAATAAATCATCGATTATGGATTTTATACTTTCGGTTGTAAGTGTGAAAATTAGCATAGTAATAACTTTCAAAAAGATGGTTCTATAAATAATTCGCCGTTTACAAATAATAATGTATTTTTATTTTACTCTTTGTAGCTTGAAAGTATTTCGAAAATATTTTAATCTGTTCTTTTCACACAAGATAATCATAGAAACTTTGTA